GAATGTACAAATGTGCTTTACACAATTGATGTATGTATGGATTGTGATAAGAGTCGTATGAGCACCTAATAAAACGATTAAAAAATAATAAAATAAAAAATAAATAAAAGGAACTTCTGGGGGGGAATAAAAGAAAGGAAGGAAGGAAGGAAGGACGGAAGGACGAAAGAAAGAAAGAAAGAAAAAGCACCGAGGCCGGGAGGGGCTGGCGTGGACAGGGACCTTTGAACCTACGAAACCGCCTCTCGTGGGGACGGCGATCGGCCGCAGATAAGGCGCCGGAGCCTGTTAGCCATGACGTTCAGCTACTATTCCAAAATAAGCAAGTTCAAGGACGCAGGCCCCACGGTCTTTGGAACCGCCTGAAGAAATGAATCCCTTCCATTCACGCGGCGCCCACGAAGCCTCCCATCGGACACCCCGACCTCGCTCCGCGCGCTTGGGCACAGAGGCCGGGCGGCCCCGTGGGACTCGAACGCAGCCCGGCCCGGCCTGGCGGACCCGCTCTCGGCTCACTCCCCCGCGCCGCAGCCGCTCACCCGGGGGTCCCACGGCCGGGGATTTGGGGTCTGCGCCCACCTTGGTACTGGGGTCCGGGTCGGAGCAGCACTCGAGGGTGGCCTCCTCGGAGAGGCCGCCGGACGCTGGTTGTGCGTCTGCCATGATTGCACTGCTGTCGGTACCGCGGAGCGGAGACCCAGGAACTCAGCGGCCGCGGACTTTCCACCCGCCCTGCGGCGGCTTTAATAAGCGGCGGCACCGCGCCGGGGGCGGGCGGCCGCTCACTTCTAGCCAATCGACTAGCTCGGAGCAAGTGAACTCTCTGCTGATTGGGTGCGCAGTGAGTCCGCGCCGTAGGCCGCAGGCGCTCGACGCCTAAAGACTACAGTTCCCAAGGTGCCTTGAGCTTAATGGAAGGGAGCACTCAAGTTAAAAATCCAAACCTTCTGCTATCGACGGCCGACCCACAGAGACTTTTAAGACAGTATAACTGCACCACAGGGCTTCCAAGGTTGTAAATATTTATGGAAGCGACTGGTGGGTTTCAGTGGCAGCTTTTCCCTTAGCTTAAAAAAATCCTATCATAATTGACAGTGTGTGGAAGCAAGATGATTTATCCAGCCTATCAAAAATCCTGCCTGCTGGAAAACGGAATTTCTGAGTTACTTGGGTCTCTGTTCAACTGTTAGGGAGCCCAGGGAGTGCAGTGGTTAAGACGCTCGGCTGCGAACCGAAAGGTAACACTCTTGGGAGCAACAACGACGAGGCGGTTCTGCTCTGCCCTATAGGGTCGCTTTGGAATTAGCTCCCCCGTAGTGGGTGCTCAGAGTTCAGTAACCACTTGGGGGTTGCGCTTTGTAAGTGATAAGGGCTCAAAGTGTTTGTTTAAGCAAGACGGGATAATAATATAATAATAATACAATACAAACCTCTGGTTTAGTCATGAAGTTTTGGTTTCATTTTTTGTTAGCTCTATATGCTTCTTATACTTGCTGACTTCTTCTGAGCTTCCTTACAGGATTTTGGTGAGGATCACGGTTTGACAACGGCCCCGATCCTCTTACTTGAAGTGGTTTTTTACATTAGTTTCTTCGAGTCTAAGGCATATCTTTAATTGTGTCTACAGGAAAGCAGAGCCATCACTGTCTTCAATGAATAGCACAAAGAGTACTTTCAATAAACATTTCCCGTACAAAGCATAGGTCTTAGCGGGTAAGCACTCAGCTGCTAGCAGAGTCCTGAAAAGAGATGTAGCAGGTGGAGTCCTGAAGGGTTTACAGCCTCAGAAACTCTCTGGGGCAGCTCTACTCTGTTGAACAGAGGGACCTGACAAATCCACTCATTGGATTCTGTTTTTTCTTTTATTTTGTTCTTCTACAGAGAATAAATTGTATTGACTGGGGTAAGGGTAATTTAAGAAATCACATGGTGTGAGTAGATGAACGCGGGAGGAGTTTTTAAGTGAATCGGAGAATGTATGCTAATTTTCAGAAAGATCGCCACCCACTGCCATCCATGGATTCATAGTGACGGTATGTGACCGAACAGAACTGCCTCTGGGGTTCTGAAGCTGGAGATCTTTACCGGAGCAGAAAGCCTCCTCTTTCTCTCTTGGAGCAGCTGCTGGATCAATGGCAGAGGAGGGCCTGTGTTTAGGAGCCCTGGTGTCACAGCAGGTTAAGCAATGTGCTGCTAAATGTGGTCACTGGTTCAGAGGAAGATGAGGCTATCTGCTCCCAGAAAGCTGTGGGCTTGGAAACCCTATGGAGCAGTTCTACTCTGTCCCAAAGGGCCTCCAAGATTTGTAATCAACTCAACAGCAGTAGCCTTGGTGTGTTAGGCTAGGTTGAATAGAGAAACAAATCCTGTGACACCCATAGATGTGTAAGAAAGAGCTTGTAATTGTATATCAGGAAAACACCCCAGCCTAGTCCAACTCAAGTCCATAAGTCTGATACTAGTCCATAAGTCCCTCTTCAGACTCTTGGAGCCACATGCAATGATGCAGAATGCAGGAACATCACCACCTGGTGGGTGCAATGTCTTGTAGATCCAATGGCACTGGAACCATCTCCAGGGCTCTAGCAGGTCTCAGAGTGGTTCGCCACCAACATGAGGGTGAAGGCAGAGAGAGAGGAGGCGGGTTGGCCTCCAGAAGCCATTTATCTTGGTCGTATCTCCAAAGGAGATCATCAAGCTGTGACCTGATTGACAGGCTAAACTCCACCCATATCTTCTTACAGGTGTTGCCACAAAAAACCTATCACACTTGGTTTTCTTAATTTAGGTCTTGTGTTTACTTGTGTGGTCAGGACACTGAGACTGGCAGTCTGGATTAAATCCACTTGGCTATAGTGGTTCTTAAGAAAAGGGAGAGTTGCTAGACAAACTGGACCATAGCTGTCCATTGCAAAACGGTGAGCAGAATAAGACATTCAGTGTAAATTTTGTGCATCGCTGGCACTGACTTACTGAGAAATATTTTATCCAAAGTCGTTGTACTAGAACGATACATGTTCAACATGGAGCTCCACCTTAAAGCTGTTAAATCTCTCAGGAATTGAGGCAGTGTGATGACCCTCCATATACTGTGCATTGCCACTGAAATCTTGCCTAGAAAGCTCAGACAAAGGGAGGGTGAAAAGTAAAATGCACCAGATAGAGAAGCAAAGAGAAAACAGCAGTAGTGCAGAAGGCATGGCTTCGAAATGGTTTCTTGTTAAGAAGGGATAAATTCCAAACACAGCTTAGATGTGCTTCCTTCTATTCTGTTTTATTTTGTATAAAGGTATATTAGTTATCTATTTTGTGTAAGAAACGAACACAAACTTGGTGACCTAAAACAATAAAAATGTGTTCTCTTACAATTCTGAAGGCCAGAAGTTTGAAATCAAAGGGTCAGCAGGCTCACATTACCTCCACAAGCTCTAAGGGAGAATCTTGGTTGCCTTTTCCAAAGTCTAGTGGCTCCTGGTGTTCCTTGGCTTGTGGCAGCATCATTCTAATTTCTGCCTCTGTCTTTACCTGGCTTCTTTCCTCTGCCTCAAATTTCTCTGTCTTTTCTCTTTTCGGGACAATGGACCTTGGATTTAAGGTCCACCCTATGTCCAACATAATCTCATCTCAAGATCCTTAACTTAATCATGCCTTCAAAGACCCTATTTCCAAATAAAATTGAATTTACAGGTATCGGGGCTTAGATTTGGACATAATTTTTAGGGGGAACAGTTTAAGCCACTCTAAAAATATATGCAATTTTGCCTTTTTGTTAGTAAAAACAAAGGTTAGGAAATCTGCTCCATATGTTTAAAACACTTGCATGGTTAAATTGTTTACCTTCATCACTTTGTAGTTGCCTAGGTCCATATGGGGTCACTATGAGTCATGATCAACTTGGTGGCAGTGAGTTTGGAGATTCATATTGTCAAGTGTTTGTGTTCTCTTCATTGGAAATAGTTTCCTGTGGCCGCCCCCCCCCTGCCGCCCCCCAATAGAATAGACAACTAAACAGGTCATAAATATCTGTTACAACCACAAGCCAATAATTAAAAAAAAAAACTCAAAGGAATGACCTGTGGCTAGTTATACAATATTTATTTATATTTTACTTGGATGCTTGGTTACTAAATTGTTATTTGTTATAGAAATTGTTATTGGATGATGTCGCTATGCCGTGACAATTATAACATCACAAATATTGATAATCTATGCATTTTCACTGAATATTCCCACCAGCATCTAGACCTCTCCAATTGGTTGTCTTGACATTTTCTTTTCTGCCAGTGACATCATCTCTCTCTTAGTTGATGAAGCTTGACTATGCACGCATCATGGTCATATAGATTTTTGGAACGAGAAAGGACGTTCATATAAATCTCTTCCTTCATTTCACACATGAAGACAACCAGGAAGACAACAAACAAATAACAGTTTGACGATCTCAGGGTTTAGCTAATTAGTTGTTTAGTAAGTCGCATAGTCCCAAGGCTATAGCTCAGCTCCCGATTACCAGTTTTGTTTTGTTTTTAACATATACTAATACTGGTAATAATAATAATAACAACTAGCATTGATTAAGCCATTATGCACCATTGTGCTAAGCGTTTTCTATATTTGCTTCATTTAATTCTCAGGGTCTTGAGGAGACTAACCATTGCATGTTTTATATATATGTTACATGGTGTTTTCTTTCTACTCAGTCTCAAGAGAACTCTGTGGAAGGTGTATTTTTCCTGTATCTCCGCATTCTCAGGAGTGCTATCATTTGGCAGTACTCCAGGAGTCTAGTTTCCTGGCAACATTAATGAACGATGGGCCACAGTGCTACTAACTTAACACTGCCATGAACATCCTTTGGACAAAAGCTCTGCCCATACTGACGACCATTTCCTTAAAATACTTTTTCAAAAGAGGACAATATTTAAGGCTCTTTAAGAGAGATAATAGTGTATAATTTATTTCTTATTGGATCAGAATATGAGGGGCTTTTAAAAAGTTTGTGTGGGGAAAATCCATGATCTTTTAATTCCATTTTTCACAAAACTCTATTTGCATATAGATATGGGGTGTCTAATAAAAGTTAATGCAAAATGTGTGTGGTAGTTACATAATCTAGTGTCAATTTGAGAGGATTACGAGTGAAGGGATGGAGTCTGGCCTGTCAATCCAGAGATAACCAGTGAGACCTCTGTGTTGGGCATGGCCTTTTCCTGAGAATTCTGGGAACTGCTCTATTTTCCTCCTTGGAGACAGGAGACCTTTTTCTCTCTCGCTGACTCCCTGAGAGATCCTCCATTGACAAGACACATGGCACTTCACTGACAGACCCTGTGCCCTGGGAATTGGAGAAGCCACATGGAAACCTCTGTCAGCGCTGAGATGCTTACACTGCCACTATATCCAAAGACTTTCTACCCACTGGCCTGTGATTCTCCTGCATTCGGCGTCATTGCATGTGTACAATTACCCTTTATATAAAACTCTCTCTTATACACATGAGTCTGAAGAGGACTTTATAGATTGGTATCGGACATATGGGCTAATATCATATTTATGGCCTTGGACTGGACTGGGTTAGGGTGCTTTCTTAATGTACAATTACCCTTTATATAAAACTCTCTCTTATACACATATGAGTTTCCATGGATTTGTTTCTCTAGTCTACCTGGACTAACACAGTGTACCATGAAAAAACTA